GATAGCTGAGCAAGATTCTATCTTAAAATAAAAATTTTTAAAAATCCTTCCCAGAAAGAAAACTCTAGACTCAGATGGCATCACTAGTAAATTCTATCAAATATTTCAGAAAGAAATAATACTAATTCTGCACAAACTCTTCCAGAAAATTGAAGAGGAGGAACTACTTCCTACCTCATGCTTTAAGTTCAGCACTAGTCTAATACCAATACCAAACACATTATAAGAAAGAAAATTTCAGTCTCAAATCTCTCATGAACATTGTTACAGTTTGAATGTGTTCCCCAAAAGTTCATGTGTTAGAAACTTAATCCCCAGTGCAACAGTGTTGGGAGGTGGGGCCTATTAAGAGGAGATTGGATCATCAGGGTGAAGCCCTCATGAATAGGTTGATGTAGTTATTATGGGTCAGTTGTCACAAGAGTGACAGATAAAAGTGGGTCCAGCACCTGGTGCCTCTCTCTGTCTCACATGCTCTGCCCTTCTGCCAAGTTATGATACAGCAAGAAGGTCCTCACCAGACGTGGGTAGCATGCTATAGAACTTCCCAGCCTCCAAAACTGTGAGTCAAATAAGTCTCTTTTCTTTATAAATTATCCAGTCTATGATATTATGTTATAGCACCACAAAAAAGACGAAGACAAATGATCTGCAGTGAGCAGGTATATGTAAGCCTGCCCCCAAAGGCCGAGGAAGCTGAGAGGCTAAATAAAAAGGCTGACAAATTCAATTTCTTAAAAAGAAACATTTAATAGGAACTTACAAATAGAAGTGATGTCGGGTTGCTGAGAGGCAGTGGAATCGCTACAATCAAGTTTTAGAAAATATTACAAGTTTTTTTGGTAAAATATGTGGTAGCGAGTCACATCTGTGTTTCTTGTGAAACTCGACTACTGAGAAGGTTAGATAAGCATCTTTATGAGGGGTTATCTAAGCTATGGGCATTGTTTAAAGGCCTTGCTGCAGATCCCTTTGGCATGCAAGAGTCAAACAACAGCCATCATGGCAGTTTCAATTCAAGATGGCACCACTCTTGCCATGCAGTGGGCTATTTTCCCACAGCAAGCATAGACACAAAACTTCTTAGCAGTATTTTAGTGAATCAAATCCAATGATACATAGGAAGATAATAGGTCATGACCAAGTGGATTTCATCCCAGGAATGTAAAGTTGGCCTAACATTTGACAGATCAATCCATGTAACTCCCCATAGTAAGAACTAGAAAAGAAAAATTAAATAATCTGAAGAGATACATAAAAAGTACTTGTGCCTCCCTTCACAGCTTCCCCTGTGTCCCACACACATGGGGAAAATATCAGGAAACAGGATCTAGAACAGCCTTAGGAATGACAAGAATCATTCCTCCATGTAGACACCCAGATTGCTTCTGGGCTCGTGCTTCTGGACTGGCTCTCCCATCAGTGAGTGGACAGGGAGGGCTTCTTTTCTCCTTGACAGGCGCATCCCAGGCCTGCTCTGTGTGATGGCCCCATCTGTTGCCTGGTCCATCAGTTTTATCCTCCATTTAAGTATACTGTTTCCTCAACTGAGCTGAGACAATAGAATTTCCGATGGCCAGATAATTTAGCCACCCTCACTGCCCTCATTATGAGGCTTACACCTCCCCTTTCCCCCAACCAGCACCATCAAACAGCTGCCTCCCACCCTCAATGGTGGTTAAGTGTTCATTTTAGGGCTCTGCGCTGGCAGGTGAAGAATGTTGTCTATTCAACCACGCACCCTTGTCGATCCATTCAATCCATGCCATCCCAGATGGATTACAAAAGTGAGTTTATATTTTATTTTCTATGTATTCTGACTAGTGCCAATAGCTTTTTGCTTCTACTCTCAAATCACTTATAATTTTTCACAGAATAATCTCCATATTCTACCATTTCCACAGCACCCTCTAGCCAAAGTTTATTGCTAACACGGCTCTTCAGTGAGAAAAGGGAGCCTGCTGGTAAGATTACCTGAAAAGGACTGCTGTGTTGCATCAATGGAAGCACTTCTTGACTTTTTACAGGTAATTCTTGGCTAAAATAAAATAAAATAAAGAAAAGGCATAGTACACTTGCTGCTGTCCCCTGCTTAGGCCTAATGCAGGCACTCCTGATCCCTAGCCATGTGTCTTTCCTCTGACTCACAGCTTCACAACCCTTCTCAGTGCCATACTCCAGGCAGGCACAGCCAGTCAGAGTGGACGTGAAACCCGTTCGCTGTTCCTGATCTTATCCACGGGCTCTGCAAACAGGTTTTGATTTTGCTTTTCTAGCTCTGAACGTTGCGCCTGTTCCAGAGTGATTCTAGGCATCAGCTTCCTACACAACAGCCTAAGCTGTCTACAACGCCCAAACCAAGCTGTGCCTCATTGTCATGGAGCCTGCTTTGGCCGCACAGAGTCCCTGTTCAACAGAGGCAGGGTTGTGCACAGCTGTCGTGCGCAGGATCTGATTTGTTAAGGAGTTCAACTGGCCAGAAGCCCCAAGAGAAACTCTCTTTGGGAACAGTGGGTGCTGCTGTCTGCTTGGACGTGTCATTGCTTCGGAGGTCTTTAGTCTTTTCTGTCAGTCTGAACACCCTCGAAGTGGGGAAGTGACCTCTGATCATTGGATACTTTCCTAAGACCAGTAGCAACAGTCTCCAGGTATTCCTCCCGTGGTTATTCTGACAGTGGTAGGCTTAAACCAGATAGAGAGGTCTTGCGTTCTATCTGGTGGAGTACGTGGCACAGAAACAGTTACAAAAACAAAAGCTTTTACCTTACTCTCCCACCCATCAGGAAGAGCACTGAGTTGTTTTCTTTTTTTTTTTTTTAAATATTTCCACTTGCAAATCTTCAGTCTTGGAAGCAGAGCAATCAATCATGTTGTCAACACAAACAGACCTCGTAAAATTCAAAGTTAAAGTCACTTCTGACAGTTTCCTAGCCTGTAAAACGAGGGGGTTAGATCAGATAATCTCTAAGGGTCTTTCCATCTTTCAAAGCATCTGACTTTATAGCTTTGGTCAACATATAAAACAAGGGCAAAAGGCAAAAAAAAAAAATTAAAAAAAAAATTGCCCTAAAACTTAGCACAGGTTCTGGAGAATCTACAGGCATTTCAAAAAGAGAGTTGACTTGAAATGTAGGAAGCCCAAATGAATTCTGAAGTGGAGTAGAACAAGCAGAACGTGCTTTAAAATGTGTCACCACCCACTACCTTCCAATTGGCTCTGGGGCCTTTCCAGCACTGGGTGGTATCTGACTGATAAGTATCATTCTTCATTAATATAACCATGGTTTGTCACATTTGCCAAAGGCTGGAAGAAAATTGAGCCAAGAGCTGGAGGCCAGAAATTCCCCATGCCTGCCCTACACATCCAGGCTCTGAATTTTTACTTTTTCTGCTACACTGCAATGCAAGTAAGTTTAACTTTGCTTCTCTGTTCTCTGTCACCGAGAAATACCACGTCTCCATGGTGATAGGAATGCATTTACCTTCATCAAACCTGCTAAAATCCTTTCTGAACAGGACATAGCAGGAGTTGCCTTTCCGATGGTAGGGGTTCAGAGTGTACAGCCCACAGCCACAGAGAAAAGTTGCTTGTTCCTGAAATGCAGACACACCTCCAATCCAGAGAGACAAGTCATCTCCTGGAGGAAGTGGTGGCTATAAAAATTCAAATGGAAAAGCCATAGGCAAAAAACACATTTTTTGAAAAGCTTGCCTTAAGTTTGGCACAGAGTTTGGGACCATTGCTTTGGCAATCAATGAAACTCAGATGGGAAGAGAGCCTCCGGGTTGGGTGAGGTGGCTCACGGAAAACAAGTGTGTGCAGGGCGGAGAGGAGAGGACCCCGGACAGAAGACGAGGGGTTAGGGGGTGCCGTTCTGGGTCTGTTCCTAACAGGCATGCTTTTCCTGTCTTTCCTGCCCTCATAAGCCTTCACTTAGCCATTGAGTCATCCATTCCTCACTTACTGACCTGCTCATTCATTCAGAAAGCGTTTATTCCACACCTACCATGTGCCAAATATTGTATTTGGCACCAGTTCACTCAAATGAATTGGGCATGGTCCCTGCCCACCAGGGCTCAGAGCCTGGGCTGGAGAGGTAGATGGCTCAACAGGCAAATGCAATTCAACGTAGTACGTGCCTCTTTGGAGTAAGCACGGATGTGGTGGGAGCACAGCAGAGGGGCAGCGAAGCTCAGCTCAGGAAGGAGGCACAGTGGGCTTTTGAAAGGAGGGCCTGCCTTAATGCTGCTGAAGGATGTGGTGTTATTTTTTATTTTTTTACTTTTCTGTGAAAGACGGGATCTCATTGTGTTGCCCAGGCTGGAGTGTGATGACTCTTCACAGGTGTGATCATAGCTCACTGCAGCCTCAAACTCCTGGCTTCAAGTGATCCTTTTGTCTCTGCCCCACAAATGGCTGGAACTCTGGTGAGTGTAGTGCTATTTAATAGGCAAAGAGGGGGAGGGGGAAGAGTCAAAGGGCATTTTAGGTTCACGGACAGCATTCACAGTGACTCAGAGACAAGGAAGAACATGTAGGGCTTGGAAGTCTATAAGTGGTAAGACAGCTCAGCTGATGAACTGACCCCACACACATCATGGGGGGCTTCACTGAAGCATTTCCTGGGCAGCTCCTGTGAAGAAATCAGCTTGCTTGAGTTAAACGCATGAAATGAGTTCATTTGGTTGATCACATTTAACTGCACATGGCTGGGTTAAATGAAACATTTCCTCCTTTGGAAGGAATGCAAAGATTTGGGGGTTTTGTTTGTCTGTTTTTGAGAAGGGTTTTTCTCTGTCACTAGGCTAGAGTGCAATGGAGTGATCATAGCTCTCTGTAGCCTCCAACTTCTGGCTCAAGCCATACTCCTGCCTCAGCCTCCTGAGTAGCTAGGACTACAGGTATGTACTACCATGCCCAGCTAATTTTTTAATATTATTTTTTGTAGAGATGGGGTCTTGCTATGTTGTCCAGGCTGGTCTCAAACTCCTGGCCTGAAGTGATCCTCCTGCTTGGGGATCTCAAAGAGCTTGGATCACAGGCATAAGCCACTGCACCTGGCCACACAAAGACTTTTGAACCAGGAAGTAACCTGGAGAAATTATGCAGCAGTGGACAAGTTGGGTGGCCCAGCGAGAAGACTGAAGAGACCTTCAAGAGAGTCGTAGCCATCAGAGTCAGAGGCATTTAAAATAGCATAAGTACAGCGGGAAGGGAAGCGGTGACTCTGTCAGGCACCAGGAGAAGCATGATAGACAGGTTACCCCATGCCATTCTCACAATAACCTACGGAAGTCGATGTTATTAAACCCACTTTACATTTGGAGTTTGTTGAAGCCACTTGCTCTGAAGCATTTTGAAAAGTTTGTCCTGGTTCTTGTGACTTGAGCAGAGACTGGTCTGCCCCATCACACCACTGGGTTTCTCAGAAGGAAGATCCATGGCGGAGGAGTCGGTGTCTGATTAGAGGCAAGTGGCACAGGAGGGGTATGGGCCAGAACAGCTCCCGAGAGCTGGAAGATGTGACAAGTACTGATGACAGCATCAAGAGCAGGGAGGTCGGAAGTGGTTGTGGATTTTAGCAGATACATCCGCTCCTTCATTAATTCTATTCATTCAATAGAAGGTTCTGCTGGAGACTCAGCAGCAGAAACAAACAAGCAAACAAAAAAGAGACAAGGATTTCTGCCCTCATGGAGTTTACATTCTAGTGGAGGAGGGGGGAGGAAATAAACAAGACAGTCAGTTTCCTCTATAATAGGTTAGCTGGAGATGAGTTCTAAGGTGAGAAATAAAGGAAAGAAGGGAATTTTCTTTTTTTAATGTCAAGATGGTTGCAGTTTCAGATGGAGTGACCAAGAAAGCGGCACTCGCCTGAAGACCTGGAGCAAGTGAGGGAGTGAGCTGTGAAGACCTCTGGTGGGGAAAGCATTTTTGGAGGACAGAATCACATGTCCAAGGGCCTGGAGATGAGAGAACTAGCTTGGAGCCCATGTGGCTGGAGCGGTGCGTTAACAGGGCTTGCTTGGAAGAGAAGAGGTCAGAATTAACAAGGGGCTAGACCACTTGAGGCCTTGAAGCCATTGTAAGGACTTGGGGTTCCCTCCTAGGTAGGAGTGGAAATCTTTCGAAGGCTTTGAGCAGAGATTGCCATCTGACTTTCATGTTAACAGTATCGGTCTGATGACGGCATTGAGAACCCATGGCCCAAGGGGGCAAGAGAACGAAGGTAAAGCTGGCAGCCTGTGCAATAAGCCAGGTGAGAAATGACGAGGGCTTGGACCACATGGGAACGGGCAGGTGGTGAGAAGTGGTCAGGTTCCGATGTATTTGGGGAGCGGAGCAGCAGGATCTGCTGGATTGGGGTGGGGTGTGAGAGAGAGAAGTCAAGGGTGGCTTCAAGGTTTTGGCCTGAGGACCTGGAAATGCTTTTCATTGAGAGGGAAATAAAGAAATAAGCTGGTTTGGGAGGAAAATGAGGACCTCAGATTTTATTCTGTTAAGCTTGGGGCAGAAATGGGGGAGCATGAAGAAAGAACAGTTCCACAGAGGCCAGCGGCAAGAGGAATGGATCAGATGCCACGGAACGGTCAGGGAGACGTGCGTGGAGGGAAGGTCATTGGACTTGGCAGGCAAAATGGTCATGAGCTCACAGAAGAGGCACACGGTGTACTTTGTGAATTTCTCCCCGATCCCATACTCTCCTTCATTAAGTACAGGGTTCTTTTGGCCAGTTTCTTCTTTCTATTCCACTCTCCAGCTCTTTTCAGACTAGGACGGGCCTGTGCTCATCCACTCCTCCAATGCCAGCTTCAAAGCCTGTTGAATTTAATGGTCACTCCAGGGATCTCTTGGAAACCAGTGGGAGGGTGCCCTGTCCTTCGTATGGTATTTTTATGTTCGTTTTTATGGGGCATTTATTTTTCCTGCTAAAAATATCTCATGCCTTTCTGCGGGGAGTGGAGTGGGGGAGGTGGAGCGGAAAAATTACTTCAGCATCTAGCTTACAAATCTGTTCAGTGGAGCTGGAGTCCTCACCTACTGTGGGTTGAGCACTGGTTTTCCATGCCCATTTCTGGTTGTGCTCACTAAGATATTCCAGCCCAGGCCCTTCCTGTTTCAGTGAAAGGAAAGCAGTGAGGTCCCACCCACCCGTCTTAGAAGCTCCCTCCGGATGGCCTGGCCAGTTTCCATTCCAGTAGATGGCACGAAACTGAGTTCATGAAGTACAGAAAGTCTGAACATCTGTTTCTATGGGGCTACATGATGTCATTTGTCCTGAAACACCCCCAGCCCCTCACACATAGGCAGTCCGGATTCTACACTTGGAGAAAAAAGAAAAAAAAAAAAAACAAAAAAACAGAAGGGGAATTCCTACTGAGGTAATGATCTGGGTGTGGAGGGCCCCCCGGTCTAGCCTCTATGAATGGACTAATTGCACTGAGTAGACCCAAAGGGGTAACCACCTCCCCCCTCACTGCTTCCCTAACGCCATCCTTTGAAAAAAGAAAATAAACTGGGCAAAGTCATCACTGTGTAAAACGGGGCTGAGGATTAAGGTTTCCATGGGTCCAAGAGCAATCAAGTCACTACCACTGAGTAGATTCGAGGTTGACTTCAGGGTGGCTCAAGTCATAGATCACAGAATATTTGAACAACTGTCCAAAGAAAAGGTCACTGTGTTGACAGTTTGCTTCTGAAGGGCAAAAATAAGACAATAATGTCCCAACTGTAGAAGGAGGTGAGGGAGCAAGAAGAGAGGAGGGAGCAGAGTAGAGACGCCTTTAAATAACTCAGAGGGAAGGGCTCTTGTCTGAGCTTCGCTGTGCGCAGCCTCCAGGGGGTCCCCTGAAGTACTTCTGGAGCAACGTGACCTCCTCTGGATCTGGGAGCCAGGGGCTGGGGAGGCCGTGCTGATCAATTCTGGCTTGGGGAAGGGTGAGAAAGGGACAATTTGTGAATAACATTTAGCACCCCAAATAATCGGGATGGCTTGAAAGCTCGAACTCATTGAAGGGCCAGGATACAAGGTGGTGGTAGAAGGGAGGGGTGGGATTGGGCATGTTTTGCCAGCTTGGAACACTAGAATCTTTATTTATTTGTTTATTTTTAGACACAGGGTCTTACTCTGTCACCCAGGCTGGAGTTTAGTGGTGCAATCATAGCTCACTGCAGCCTCGAGCTCCGAGGCTCCAGGGATCCTCCTGCCTCAGTCTCTTAATAACTAGGAATACAGGCATACACCACCACACTTGGCTAATGGGAGCACTAGAATCTTGTTGGCAGTCAAACATGGGCTCCTCTTGGTGGAAAAAAATATATCCACCTCAATATTTAGAGGAAGGTTTTATCTTGGGACTTCAAGAACATAGCACAGGATTTGTTCATGCTTGAACCTATGCTTGTGAGAACTTTATAGTGTTACTGTATGGATAACATGAGTTTAATTGTATACACCTGTGCAGGAAACAGTCACCACAGCTGCCTGAGACTGTGCTCTTTAGAAAGGTCTGCTTGTAAACTTGGCCCTTGGCTGGCATCCGGGAACTTGGCCCGTGCATAATTCCCTACACTGATAAAAAACTTTCCATCAATGATAAGGGTGGCTCACTGGACTTACACCATTTGTACAAATGAAACAGTTTGTGCTGAACACCTGCCTTCTGTCTGAGAGCCTGGAGTCTTGTTACATGCTAGGCAGAGGGTGCCTATATGACAAAACCCCAATAAAAATCTTAGGCACTGAGTCTCTAATGAGCTTCCCTGACAGACAGTACTTCACATGTGTAGTTAGAATTTGTTGCTAGAGGAATTAAGTGTGTCCTGTGTGAATTCACTGAGAGCAGACCCTTGGGAGCTTGCACCTGGCTTTCTCTGGACTTCTCCCCATGTGCCTATTCCCTTTGCCTGTGAAATAGTTGCTATGTATCCTTCTGCTGTAATCACTCTTAGCTGTGAGCATGGCTATATGTGGAATCCTGTGAGTCCTCCTAGCAAATCACTGAGCCTGGTGGTGGTCTTAGGGACCCTTGATACAACTAAATCACCCATACTCTAGGGCAGGGTTTTAAAATTAATGACCTGATTCCTGTTTACTAAAGAATTTGAAAAAAGGCTTTAACCAGCTGGGGTGAAAGGGGGGTGTGTTGCCTCCAGTCTGGATAGTTCTGTTGACCTTGTACTTGGTGCTTTTGTCCCATGCCCCATCTCATGAAGCAATTGCAGGACCCTCGCTCCTGGGTACACAACGTTCTCAGTCTCAACCTACCTATCATGGAAGCAGAGGCAGAGCAGAAACAAGCAAAAAGTGTTTGGATCTATCCGTGGTAGAGGCTGGGGACTCCACAGGTGTTTGCATTTCACCTCCTAAGCCAGTGGGAGGGTGATTGAACAGCTGGCTTATGCTACAGGTCAGGACTGACTCCTTTAGCAAGGCTTTCCCAAGTATGCCTTTCTGCTTGAGCTCTTTCTAGATTCCAAGCTGACCTAGTGCTACTTTGTTTCCACAGATACTTTCTTTAGCTATGCTAATTAATCAATTAACTAATTAGCCTTTCTTTGGCCTGTGAGCCTCCACTTTGGTAAGGTCTGTAACCTGATGTGTTAACTGTGCTCTTCGGCAACTTGCTGCAAGTCCTGGGGGCATTCCTTACTTGTGGGCCCTTCCCTAGGCTGCAACTACCACCTTATATGCAGAATCGCTTTGAAGCACGGTATTCTTTCTGGACCATCCCATAGAGAAAAGCACACTTTTAGCTTGTATGTGCTGTCCAGGGTCTTAGGAATCAACTTGCTATGTACCCAGCTCTGGATCCCAGACAGCCACTGTGATGTGAAGGCTTCCTGGCAGGGTGGGTCTATTTCTTCACCCTAACCCCTTTCTGCAGACAGAGCAGACATCAGTGGGGAGATGAGAAGAAGGCAGAGGAGTTGTGCTGGGAGGAGGAGATTCTTGAAAATCTGAAAGATTTGATTATCTTATACAACTTTGACTTTTAGAGCTGGTTTTCTAAATTTCCCTCTCTACCTGCCTGTGTCTGTAGCCCTTATTAACTCATCTTTAGATGAAAGCAGACCATGGGTCTGACAGCCCCCATAGAAGGCCAAAGAGATATGAGACACCTGAGTGGGAAGCTGAGGGGAGCAAGGGAGGAGTATCCAGGTGAGCACAGGAAGTGGCAAGGGTGGGAAAGAAAGAGTATCCATGGATGACGCAGCTACTGGGGGACAAGGAAAGGCGCAAGTATGTGACATTCCAAGGGCTTTTCAGAACCCCACTGATCACCCCACTGTGCAGTGGAGTTAGATCAAGGGACTTCTCATGCTCATTGGCCCAGTGTGGGTCTTCGTGGGTTGTTATAGGTGGGTTGTTAAAAGCAGCTTCAGGTCCAAAGTGAGAAACTAGTCAACATACTCTCCTGCCTCTGTGTGATTAATAGGCAGAGTGTAAGACTCTTGAGTAATGACTATCCTTCCAACATTACAAGCTTAGCAGGAAAATCCCACAATTCCCACTGCAGGAAGTGCTAGATCACCAGGGGAATATACTAGAACTCCAGATTTCCAACACGGAAAGACTTCCCTCATTGTTAACTACAAAAGTCTTTTTATCAAATTCTTTGAAACAAATTCTTTGAAACATACCAAAATCTCTGGGATTAGGCAAAAGTAGTGTTAAGAGGAAAGTTTATAGCACTGAATGTCTACATCAAGAAAATAGAAAGATCTCAAATTAATGATCTAACATTGCATTATACAAAAAGGAACTAGAAAAACAAAGAACAAGCTATCTCAAAACTAGCAGAAGAAAGGAAATAACTAAAATAGAACATAACTAAGCAAAATTGAGACCCCTCCCAAAACATACAAAGGATCCACAAAATGAAAAGTTAGTTTTTTGAAAGGATACACAAGACTGATATCCCACCAGCTAGATTGAGAAAGAAAGAAAAGAAAGAAAAAGAAAGAAGGAAAGAGAGAGAAAGAAAAGAGAAGAAAGAAAGAGAGAAAGAGAGGAAGGAAGGAAGGAAGGAAGGAAGGAAGGAAGGAAGGAAGGAGGGAGGGAGGGAGGGAGGGAGGGAGGGAGGGAGGGAAGGAAGGAAGGGAGGGAGGGAGGGAGGGAAGAAGGAAGGAAGGAAGGGAGGGAGGGAGGGAGGGGGGAAGGAAGATCCAAATGAGCACAATCAGAAATGACAAAGGTGACATTACAACTGGTCCCAAAGAAATAGTAAAGATCCTCAGAGACTATTAGGAATACCTCTATGCACACAAACTAGAAAACCTAGAGGAAATGGATAAATTCCTGGAAGCACATAACCTGCCAAGATTGAATCAGGAAAAAACTGAAACTCTGAACAGACGATTGGTGTGTTCTGAAATTGAATCAGTAATAAAAAACCTACCAACCTATAAAAGTCCTGGGCTAGTTGGATTCACAGCCGAATTCTACCAGAAATATAAAGAAGGTACCAATCCTACTGAAACTATCCCAAAAGATTGAGGAGGAAGGATTCTTCCCTAACTCATTCTAGGAAACCAGTATTATCCTGATAACAAAATCTGACAAAGACACAATGAAAAAAAAAAAAAAACAAAAAAAACTACAGACCAATATCCCTGATGAACATAGACATGAAAATCCTCAATAAAATTCTAGAAAACCAAACCCAGCAGCACATCAAAAATTAATTCACCACAATCAGTAAGCTTTATTCCTGGGATACAAGGTTGGTTCCGCATACACAATCAATAAATGGATTCACCGTTGAAGCAGAATTAAAAACAAAAACCATGTGACCATTTCAATAGATGCAGAAAAAGCTTTAAACAAAATCCAACATCCCTTAATGACAAAAAGCCTCAATAAACTAGGAATTGAAGGAACATACCTAAAAATAACAAGAGCCATTTATGACAAACCCACAGACAACATCATACTGAATGTACAAAAGCTGGAAACATTCCCCTTGAGGAATGAAAAAAAAGACAAGGATGCCCATTTGCACCACTTCTATTCAACATAGTGTTGGAAGTCCCAGCCAGAGCAATCCACCAAGAGAAAAAAATAAAAGGCATCCAAATAGTAATAGAGGAAGTCAAACTATCTTTCTTCACAGGCAATATACTTTTATACCTAGAAAACCCCATAGTCTAGTCTCCATGAGAAGACTTCTATTACTGATAAACAACTTCAGTAAATTTTCAGGATACAAAATCAATGTACAAATACCAGCAGCATTTCTCTACACCAATAACATTAAAACTGAGAGCCAAATCAAGAATATAATCCCATTTACAATAGCTACCACCTAAAATAAAATAACTAGAAATACATTTAACCAAGGAGGTGAAGGATGTCTACTTATTGGAATCACAAAACACTGCTGAAAGAAATCATTGACAAGACAAACAAATGAAAAAATATCCCATGCTCACGGATTAGAAGAATCAATATTGTTAAAATGGCCATACTGCCCAAAGCAAACTACAAATTCAATGCTATTAATATCAAATTACCAATGCCATTTTTTCACAGATTTAGAAAAAAGTATTTTAAATTCATATGGAATCAAAAAAGAGTCTGAAAGGTCAAACCAATCCTAAGCAAAAAGAACAAAGCTGGAGACATCACATTACCTGACTTCAGACTATACCACAAGGTTATGATAGCCAAAACAGCATGGTACAGTACAAAAACAAACACATAGGCCAATAAAACAAAATGCAGAACACAGAAACAAAGCCATACACCTACAACAAAGTGATTTTTGACAGTTGACAAAAATAAACAATGGGGAAAGGGGAATAAGGAAATAGGAGAAAGGGAATAAGCAATAGGAAAAAAACTCCCTATTCAATAAATGGTGCTGGGATAGCTGGCTAGCCTTATGCAGAAGAATGAAACCAGACCCCTACCTATCACCATATACACAAATTAACTCAAGATGGATTAAAGATTTAAATGTAAGACCTCAAGCTTTGAAATCTTAGAAGAAAACCTAGGAAATACCCTTCCATAGACACTGGGGAGTCCAAAAGGAGGGAGAGAGAGAGGAGAGCAAGGGCTGAAAACCTTCCTATTAGGTACTATGTCCACTACCTGGGTGATGGGATCAATAAAAACCCAAACCCCAGCATCACACAATAGACCCTTGTAACAAGCCTGCATGTGTACCTGCTGATTCGAAAATTTAAATTTAAATTTTAAAAAATCTTTTTATTCACAGTATTTGGGGGTTCAGGCCTCAGATTTCAGGAAGAAGCCTATGAGAGAACATAATGTGAAGGGGGTCCCTTTTTCTATCTGGGAGATCTGCTCTCCTGGGATTTTGCTGCCTATGAAGAGGCCATGTCATCACACAGACACCGAGTCAATGGACCCCTCCCAGTTCTCAGTGGTGAAGCATCCCATCAGGACAAGGTTCCTACCTTCAGACCTATTTTCTCAGGACAGTTCCAACACTGTCTGGGGAAGCTGTAATTCCTTCCTCGGTATAATGGTTTTCTGCACCATCTGTAAATATCTTTTAAGCAGATCTTCAACAAATGATTTTAGTTTCTCATAATTCCAGTCAATCCAACATTTATTGAAGGCATGCACAGATGGAGGAGAATGTGTTCTCTGACCTCCTGTCCCAGCTTTTACTCTCCTGGGATTGGCTGAGAACCCCGAACCATTGCTTGGCAGGCAGCGCCAAACCTTCAGCTCCAGATGAGCCATTTAATAGGTGCTTAAGATGAATTTTTGGAAATTTTTAAGAGAAAAGCAATTTCCCTAAGCATCCAGGAATGTTTCTTGTGGCTGTTTTTCTATCCTCTGCATTTCTCCCTGCTGCAAGGGATGGCCTGCCACAGCCTCGGCCCAGGGCATCTGCCACCTGTACACAGGGCCCTAGCCCTCTTTCCTATTCAAGGACTTGACATCTTTCTCTTGTATCATTGATTTTCTGTTTCTAGTGATTCATCCCTTTGGCATACCAACATGGGATAACATCCTATATTATGTTTAAAAATTAATTAGCAAATCAATAAATCTCTCTTCAACTCCCAATTCCTTTTTCATCTGTTACTGTATTTTGTACCCTTCATAGCAAGCACTCAGATGCCACTTTATTTATGAGAATACAGTGTTCTCATCACATGGCTTTCATATTTCCTGCACTCACCTCCTAGAATGCTGTTTTCAGGATCCTTGCATCCTCACTTCTTTAGACTTCTGCTCCAGCACTTATTATGACCTGTGTTAGTCTTCTTTTGCGTTGCAATAAAGAAATACCTAAGGCTGGGTAATTGGTCAAGAAAAGAGGTTTAATTGGCTCTCGATTCTGCAGGCTGGACAGGAAGCATGGAGCTGGTATCTGCTCCTGGTAAGGGCCTCAGGAAGCTTCCAGTCATGGTGGAAGGCAAAGGGAGAGCAGGTGCATCACATGGTGAGATGTAGGGGAGAAGAGGGAGGTCCCAGACTCTTTTAAACAAGCAGGTCTTGCGTGAACTAACTGAAGGAGAGCTCACCTGTTGCTAAGAGAATTCTAAGACAGTCATGAGAAATTTACGTCCAGAATCCAGTAGCCTCCCCACAGGCCCCATCTCCAACATGGAGGATTACATTTCAACATGAGATTTGCAGGGGACACACATCCAAACCATATTATTACCTGAAATGATAATGGTTGTCAACTTATTTTCTTGTTTATTGTCTGTCTTTAAGATAGTAGGATCTAAATTTTATGACAACTTAGATTGAATCTATCTCAATTCACTGGTGTATCACTCGTGCCTGAAATAGAGCCTGGCACAAAGAAAAGACTCAATAAATATTTGTGGAATGAGTGAGAATATTAGCCAGAATTTATTGATTGTTCATTATGCGTCAGATATTGTAATAAGAGCAGTATCTCATTTAACGCTCACAGCAGCTCTATAAGTTTAGCATTTTCCCAGTTTTACGAATGAGGAAACTTCAACTTAAAAAGATGAAGTAATGACCAGGTGTAGGGGCTCTCACCTATAATTCCTGCACTTTGGGAGGCCAGGGTAGGAGGATGGCTAGAGGCCAAGACTTTGAGGCCAGCCTGGGCAACATAAGGAAACCCTTCCTTTACAAAAAAAAAAAAAAATGTTTTTAATTAGCTAGGCACAGCAGTCTGTGCCTATAGTCCCAGCTACTTGGGAGGCTAAACTGGGAGGATTATTTGAGCCTAGGAGTTCAAGACTGCAATGAGGTATGTTTGCACCACTGCACTCCAATGTGGGTGACAAAGTGAGATCCTGTCTCTAAAAAATAAATAAATAAACAGATGATGAAGTAATTTGACTAAGTTTATACAGCTAACAAGGTACAAAACTAGACCCTGACCCCAGCTTGGTCTCACTCCAAAGCTCCTGCTCATAACCACAGGATTATACTGTCCCCAATGACAGCAGCCTACCGGCGAAAGTCCCGGTGACATCAGCTTAAGATTCCCTGCTAATGGACACTGTGTGAAGCACCATAAGGGCTACTTTCATTGTCTAACAGCGCTGAACTGGCCTCCAATTCTTGCACCCTCTACTCCGTATATGGGTGCCTATTCTAAGTGGAGTGGGTGGACAGGTGGGTCCTGGAGAGTGAGTGGAAGGGGAGACAAGCACTCTATTCCCGAAGCCCAGATTTCTCATATTCCAGGTTTCGGCTTTGATGTAGGGCAAATGCCACATGTTTTCCAGATGTCTTAACTCTCCACCTTCACTTTCCTCTTGCCTTCTCCCTCTCCTTTTCTGGAGGTGGGGGGATCTCTCTTTCAGAGGCATTTTGGTACCTCAACCACATGCCCTGGGCATGCCCTAGAGGTTGCCTGCAAACAGTTCTTCAGTCTAAGGTAAGGCTATAGGAGTGAGCCTCTACCGTGAGAGACAGGAGCTGGTGGATAAAACCCCTGCTCCACCCCTCTCAGCGGCGCCACTCTGAGGGGGGTTGCACAGTTTCCTAGAGGGTCCCTAGGGGGACTGAGTCCCTGTTGCCCATAGAGGTAACCCTCTCATGAACACACCCTCTGTGGAGTCTCCTTCCTTCCCAGCCTCACCCCCTCACTGCCTCCCATGCTTCCTGAGCTCATCTCCCAAGTAAGTGATATGTCCCAGAATCCTCACCTCAGGATCCGCCTTTAGGGACACCTGACCCAAGATAGACTTCTTCTCCTAAATCTGTACCACCTGTGGAAACAAACTATATCCAGGAGTCACATCCCAAGAATCAGACCACCTTCCCCCAGATGTAGGTTGAATTACATCTCGGTGAGCTGGAAGGGCACAGCTTCGGCCATAATTTCATTCACCGTCCTCCATCATTCTGCAATAGACCCTGGTTAGGTAGGGTCAGCCCACTTCATACACATAAAAACTGAGACTCAGCGGGGTGAATGAAGTATCTGGCTATCAAGACTCCAGGTCAGTGGCCGTCCGGAGGTTTGCGTAGGAATTCAATAAGCTCTCTTCCATAATGCACCTAGCAGAGAGCTTAGCACGCTGTGGGTGTTCAACCCATGTATGTTCTCTTTTCTCTTTTGACTTTTATTATTCCACTAAATGGTCTAAAAATTATATTATCAGTGGAGTTTGGCCCATATTTCATAAACAGAAAGAAGCAGCTCCAGCCGTTCCTTCTCCTGGGTGAACAGGTGCACATGGTTCAGGAAATTCCCACTGGGGTCAGCCCTCTTCTCTTCACAGGTGCAGTTTATAAACCCGCCCAGCTTTGACTCAGGACAAGCCACCCATCTCCAGCGGCTGGCGTGTGTGCCTCTGCTGACCACAGCTGCTGACCTGTCTCCTGTACACTGGATGCTGTGACGCCCAGAGAGCAAAACTTCTTCTCAGGCTTTCCAAGAAGGCAGGGACCCCAGTTCTCTCAAGAGCTAAGGTTGCAGCAAATCAGCCTCAAGTGGGAGTCCCGGAATCAAGAGGAAGTATGGGCTTGCCTTACTTCCATGCCTGCATGGCCATAATGTGAATCTACAGCTCAGAAAGTTGGTCTCCTTAGTGCCACGCTCTGGAACCAAGTCAGCTCCCTGATTGCAGCTTCCTCGGGCCTCTGCGTGTGCACTCTGTCCGTTCATGTTATGTTTCCCCCATGACCCCTTCCTCTGCTATTCAATAATAAGGCCGATCTGCCACAGCAACGTCCACAGCCAATGGCACCTGCACGGTGAGTTCCTTCTCTGCTGCACAATATTTCCTTAAAGAAAGACACACCTGGAAATGGAATTTCTGGAATGATTCCCGGATGCTTTCCAGAGGAATCCTGGCAACATGGGCAAACAGCCTTTTATTTTCCACCATGGGAACAAATATGTCTGACCTTTCTTTAGTGTTGGAACTGGGTACAATAAATAGGTGACACTTTTCTGGGTGGCAGGGGTGAGTGGTGGGAATGAGACGGAATCAATAGTTGTCAGTTTGTGTAATTTCCACCAGCACTGACAGGGTGACTGTTTCAATCTCCAAGCGGAAATTGTGGTCTCGGGGAAAACAAGACAAGAGATGAAAATTCTGTAGTTATCTTCAGAGGGAAAGAATTTTAAGCTGTGGGGATGGATAAAATCTCTATGGAAGGGAAAAGAGAGTCAGGCAGATGAAAGGAGATGAGGCCTTTGATCATACAATTTGTTACCCAACTGGAACAACTTTGAGAGTGAAAGGAGGTCACTATTAATAGTGACGCTGGGGCCTCCGATGTAAACTAGGATTGTCTTGGGCACACAGGGACATATGGTCACCCTGATGCTAGGGTCAGTCCATTGAAGGGGCTGATGATGATAGCCTGATCTTTGCCACAGCCCTGACACCTGCCCCATGACAGTAGGGAGTGGTAACGAGGCAGTCCCCCAATATAGCTCAGAACATAAGGCCTTCTAGTATCTTCACTGGGGGTGGCAGGGGATGGTGCTTCATAAACTCCTGAAACTTGTCTTCCCTGGGCTGCCAAAGGTCTCCCTCCCTTCTTTCATCTTTGTCTTTCCATGGGGATGAGGGAGGTGCCATGAGGCCAGGACACAGATGTCCATGTGCTCTCCAAATGACTTGGGGGAGGGTGAAAACTATAACTCTTGGAAATTTGATAAAATTGTCAAAAGAATAGAATCAGCTACATAAATTGTTTAGCCAAAGTTATAGTTCTACAATAAAAATAAACCTTTTCTTTTATATTAGCACTAACCATGACCATATCAATATAATCCCCAAGGTAATTAACAATATGCATTTGACCCTGCTTGGTTTCCAACCCAGTCCCTCTCTTCTCCTCCTACCTCTTTGGGGAACTTTGTCACTATTTAAAAAGAAACCAACAAAGAATCATCTCTTGACCCTGAGTGTCTCTCTCAATTGATACCTAGAAGAGTATAGATGCAGTACCTTCCATTTTCTCTGCAGTCCTTCACACTCTAACCCTGTTGTAACCTGGCCTTCTAGCATTCCCACTTTTTTTGTGTTTCAGGCCAGATGGAAGAGTTCTAGCTGATTTAACCTCACTCAGTGTGGTTTACAGTCGGCGCAGATGAGCTAAGCCATTCCGAACGTCAGATTTCTAAGGAAAGCCAACTGGTGTTTTTAAGAAGCAAGCTGATTACAAGTTGGTTAAAACCTGCTTAAATTGGTTCTAACCAGGTCAAGCCAACCTTCCTGGATCATATTGGGTAAAGCCAGCTCAAACAGGATAAAACAGCCCCAAACTGACACACATCAGATTCCAAGCAGTTCCTGCTGATGGAGACCAGATAAGCCAGCATCTAACTTGTCCTTACTGGATCAGACCAACAGGAATTGAATCACAGCAGTTCAGAAGGAGGAAACTGGATTCAGGCAAGTGAAATTGCTTCATATTAGGGGAAAACAGTGTAAAATTATTCTTAGTAAAGCAAACAGATCCTAACTAATTTAAAACGGTTTAAAGTCACATTTGTCAAAATAGGCTGATTCAAACTAGATCAAATCAGCTCTGATTTCAATAGCTTTTCTCTTGGTGATTAAAACCAGCTTTGACTAGTTTAAACCAGATCAACCTGGCAGCATTGCTAAATAGCTTCGAAAATACACTATTAACTATTTATTGAGGGGAAAGGCTGGGTACGGTGGTTCACGCCTGCAATCGCAGCACTTTGGGAGGCTGAGGTGGGTAGATTGCTTGAGCTCAGGAGTTTGCAACCAGCCTGGGCAACATAGTGAAACCTCATCTCTATAAAAAATACAAAAATTAGCCAGATACGTATGGCATATGCCTGTGGTCCCAGCTACTCAGGAGGCTGAGGTAGGTGGACTGCTCGAGCCGAGGAGGTCAAGATTGCAGTCAGCCATGTTAGCACCACTGCACTCCAGCCTGAATGACAAAGTGAGACTCTGTCTCAAAACAAACAACAAACAAACAAAA